AGATGTTTAAGTAGATTGCTTGTGTTTCCATGAGCTTGTTTAATTTTAGTGCTACAATCTCCAACCATACATGTAGCATACTCGCTGTCTTCTATCTTTTTGAAGTAGTTCCAAACTGAGCTTCTTGATCTTTTAGCCATAGCTCAGTAGCATAGCACTCCTTCTCTGATATTCTTATTCACTAAATCACTCTCAAAGACTCTTCTATTTATACTATTGCTATAAGAGCATGATGGTGCATATGATGATTGTGCTATGCTACATCATGCAGGCATGATAGTGCAGAAATGTTGAGCAATAGGAATAAGCTACTTTACAACGCCATTTAATTATCAACTACTAAAAATAGAATGAGTCATTATTAGGTAATTATTAATAGTTATTAACAGTTATGATGGTTAATTAATATTAAGTGGGTGTGGTTTCTGGAACCGAACCTTCGGTCGGTATTACTTCAGGATTCGGTACCACTAAGTCAAGCACTGGAACCGTGGAACCGGATACTTTGGAACCGATACCGCCCATCACTAGATTTTAGCCTTTTTACAATAATCAATATTTACAAAATACGAAGGTCAAGCTCTCTCCATTCGGTCACTACACTGGCGACGAGGGTAACTGGACTACTTTGCTGTTTCTTCCTACTTCTCACTACTTACACTATGGCTACGCACGGCAAGATGTCGGCATTCGATGGTTCCAAGGAATCTTGGACTTCTTACTCCGAGAGACTTGACTTCTACTTCAAGGCTAACAAGATTACAGCAGCAGAATCTCAGAAAGCAGTCTTTATTACTGTGATAGGACCTAGGACGTACGGGCTACTGAAGAGCCTACTACAACCAAAGACACCTCAGGACTCTACCGTCACCTTGGATAAGATGAAGGACGTTCTGCAGAAGCATTTCGATCCTAAGCCATCTCCTATAGTTCAGCGCTTCAAGTTCCACACGAGAGTTAGGAAACAAGACGAGACAGTGGCAACCTATGTGGCAGAGCTCCGTGTGATAGGAGAACATTGCGATTTCCAAGATTCTCTAGATGCTATGATTCGGGATAGGCTCGCTTGTGGCATCAACAGCATTCGAATCCAGAGATGACTTTTACAAGAGCCAGATTTAGACTACGATAAAGCATTTCAAATAGCTCAAGCTATGGAGCTAGCTGCTCATGATGTCTCTGATCTACCTGGGAGTAAATCACAGCACCAGACGCCGACTCCTGTTCATAACCTCCAACACAAGAAGGAATCGTCACACAGGCAGAGTGAAGTTGAGTGTTACAGATGTGGTGGAGATCATTACGCTACTAAATGCAAGTTTATTGAGGCAGATTGTAGGCTGTGTGGAAAGAAGGGACACCTAGCCAGGGTATGTCGCAGTCGAAAAGAGAAGCCACAGCAGCAGAGGAATCATCCTAAAGCCAAGACTGGGTACCCACCACAACCTCAGCAGAATAACAGACAACACCCAACTCACAACCTGGACCACAAGTCACATCCTCTTCTCATGGGAGACTCTGACCAAGAGGACTACCCATTGTTTACTTTGCCTTCTGCTGGAAACCTATTGTTGTTTCAGTGAGTGTCAATAAGGTTGACCTTTCC